GGTGGCCCCCGGGCACGTCCTCATCATCCGACGGGCTTCCCAGGTCCCCGTTCACGGTGGCGACTGCCAGGATGGTGCCCACGGCCTCCGGAGACGCGTCTGCGGGAGAAGGCACCTTGGGTGAAAAGGCCCTCGAAGTGGCGTGTGACCCGCATTCCACAGGTGCCTCCCAGTGACCCTCTGTCCCACAGCACGGCTCCCCTGCGTGCGTCCTCACCGAGACCGTGATGTTGAGGGACAAAACCCCGATACGGAGGCTTAAAGGTTGCATGGTTTCTCCTCTACGAGAAACCCAGAGTATACACAAAGAGCAAATAAAAGATGCAGAACAGGACGGGGAGACAGAGCTTTTGCAGACGGGATGGGGACCGAGGTGGAGTGAGGGGTGGAGAAGGGAACATAAAGACTTGTGTGGTGCACAGGGACCCACTCCCCATGAGACATGCAGCCACTGTCCTGCAAATGTGCACAAATCAAAAACTAAAAGGAACAAACACTGAGTGGGCTTCCAGCAGCGGCTCCGCCCCGGCACCCCTACCTAGCGGGTGCACAGCCCGCCGTTCTGCAGAGGGGCGCTAAATGCTGCCTTCTCCAGAGCTCTGCAGCCAGCTTCCCAGGCAGGCACAGCCCCAGGAGGAGTCTGCCCAGACAGGGCTTCCCCGGCTCAGAAACCGCCGCAGGGGACCACAGGACAACGATTTTCCGTTTAGGGCGAGACACGCACTCAACGCTGTCCCAAGGCGCACCGCACAGGCACTCACCCTCATGCACGGAGGACGTGACTTCGACCTTAAACTGCAGGTACCCGCTCACGTGGTCGGCCGGGAGCCTCCTGCCCAGGTTGTAGCTGAGCATCTGGTCTCTGCCGGGGGAGACACGCTTCCGTCACAGCCTGCCCCGTCCGTTCCCGAGACGTGCGGGCTTGGAAGCGAAGAAAACACAGGCCCACAGCATATGGCGTCCACTACTGAGCCCTCATGGGTGCGAGTGAACACTGGAAAGCCAGGGATGACAGGAAGCCTGCTGCAGCCAGCCCCGCCGGTGTGCTGGGGGCCTGGCCTCCCTGCCTGGAGCCGTGCTGCGGGGTGGGGGGCTGGAGAAGCCATTTGGGGCGCTGGGTCCCACAGCTGGTGCTGGAGGGGACACAACTGTCCTCCCCGGCACCAGACTTAGGCTGCCAGTCTCCCCAAGGATGAGCCTGTCCAGTGTATTGGGCCCGTGTCTGTCAGAGTCAAATGAAATTAATTACTTCGTCTGCTGCTTGAATGCAAGCAGTTCTTGCTCTGAACCAAATGGGTTTCTCTTAAGGAAAACAATCAAAGGCAGTGTTTGGCCGCATGGTCTCTGCGCTCATATTGCCCTCTAGCGGCCCCGCAGGACAGGGCCAGCCTCCAACCAGCTGCACCGGGCTGGCCTTCAGCCAGGTAGCAGACACCTGCAACTTGCTTTTGTTCTCCACGACCTCAAGGACTGTAATCCGCTCTGCTCTTACAAACTTCTGACGTGACGGAAGACTTAGTTCTCTCCCTCCCAGAGGCGGTGTGGAGGTGACTTTTCTTGAGCGATGTTTTTTAAGTGCTTTCACTGCCAGGCGGCCGCCCTGCTGAGGGCTCCGCCCCACCACCACCTCTACCCTCCGCAGTCCTGCTTCCTACAGGAGGAAACTGAGGTGCAGCCAGGCAGCTCTGTGGGGACAACCTGGGATGAGACACACGCAGCCCCAGCTCGGCCTGTAGCCGCCGCCCCACAGGCTCCCTGGAGCAGTGTCTTGGTGACATTTTGACTGTGACTTGCCTTGGTGTGGCTATCAGCCCTTTCCTACCTCCACTGGTGCTTTAGAAGAGTCCTCCATGAAGAGTCACATAAGCATTTGTGACTCCTAGACCTCGGGGGCTGCCAGAGGCTTCGGAAGGAGAGCGTCTGACATCACAGGACAAGCAAGCCCAGGGCACCCCGTCTCCTTCTCACTGTCCTCCCAGCCCTGGCCTTGATCTGCCTGGAAGCAAATTAGGCAGATCGGCACCCAACTTTTCTGTCTCTCATCCATCTCTGAATGCTCATCGTTACTTTAACACTTCAGTAATAAACACATCATTTTCTGGATCAGAACAAATTAACTCTCCTCCTCTCTTTGAGCAATAAAAGTGTTGGGATTCATGATGAAGATATATAAAAGCAATGGGTTTTAGCAAGCCATTAAGTGTTTCCTAAGAACCGTAAGGAAAGGGCTACCATATTCTAGCCAGTTGTTTGGTCACTGTCTCATCTCAATCCCCAGTACAGTGCTACACTTAGTAAAATATTTAGTAGGACATAAATCAAGAGTCCACCAAAAAATTGTACATACACTGCAGTAGTTTGCCGTGCTAGTAAATGTCTGGAAGCTAATGGCCTACACTCTGACCACCTCTTGTAACTGTAGAGGCCAAAAGTAACTTGTATTAATCTCAGGATGGCACAATAAATTTTGTATTAAAATATCTATACAAGTTTTTCTTTTTCTGAGGTAGACTTTTTGGACAGAATATATATACACATATACTTATCATCTATGGGGGGCTCTGTATCAATCAGCTCTCCATCACTGTGACAAAATGTGACACCCCGATGTAAAGGAGAAATTTAATTTGGCTCACATTTTCAGGGCATTCAGAAAGATGTAAAAGGGTAAAAAACTCTGCAACATTTTGCTCTGAGAAGAGACCCCAGCTCAGCAGATTCAGGGCCACCTAGGGAGTGCTTCCCTGGCCTCAGCCATCCAGGCACTTAGAGGCTGCTACAGCCACGGTCCAAGGGACCCGGCTACCGATTGAGCCAGCAGCAGACCTTGGCATCATCCATGTGGTGCTGGTTTTTCAGGCATGCAGAATGCCAGAGTTGTGGGACCAGGGAGGCTCCCACCCAGGTTTCAAAGGAAAGCCTTAGAGGCCGGGCAGAGTGCACTGAGAGGGCAGCGTGTAAAGCTGTGGGAATGAAGCCAAAGGCACAGGAGAGGCCCCAGGAAGTTAGACATGCCAGGAATGGGAATCATTTGCTGAGTGAAGTCACAGGCAGTGAGCAGAGCCAACCTAGGAGGGGCCACAAGGGCTGCAAGACTCTTACCACACCTGCCCCAGGTGCTGGGCACAAGCTCCAGGATTTCACGTTGCCCTGCTGGGTTCCAGACTTGCTTTGGTGCTGTCCTTTCTATCCCCCTATCCCTCCCTTCTGGAACACATGTGTTTACCTGTGTCATCATCATATGTTGCAAGTATTTATCTTTGTTTTTGATTTTTACAGGGGCTCACAGCTACTGGTTTAGACTGGGACTTTTAAGCGATGCTAGAAATATTAAGACTCTGTTAACTCTTGGAAATGGACTAAATGAGGCTTTGGGGGGTTGGGGCAGAATGTTATGGTTCAGATCTTAAACGACCCCCAAAAGTCTTATGCACACGAAACATGATGGGATCAGGGGCAGGTGCCATACTGCTCAGTGATTCTTCCATGGATGGGTTCGCTGCTGAATGTGCTGCGAGGGTGGGGCCTGGTGGCAGCTGGGTCACCGGGCTGTGACCTGGAAGCCTGTGTCCTTGTCCCCAGCTCCTCCCTTCTCTCTGGATACTATGGGCTGAGCAGCTGTCTCTTCCAGGCCCTTCCACTGTGCCATTTCTGCCATGGAGCCAGCTGACCACAGACTGGACCCACTGGAAAATGTGCCAAACAAACTCCTTTACATCACAGGTGGTGGGCATTTTGTCCCAGACACAGGAAAGGGATTAATGAAGACTCTTTACCTGGAAAAGGCATTTTAACTGAAAAGAGACTCAGTACAACTATTCTACCTGCGAGGACGGGAAGCCCTCCCTCTTCTCCATCAAGAGTCCAGAATCTCCTCCTTCACTGAATGCCCGCCAGTGGGTCCTGCGCCCGGTCCTACCCACCCGCCCTGCCTCCCATGATGAGGCATCGTTATTAAGAATGCATCACACATTGTCCGGCACATTATTATGAAAAATAAGCGCCAAAAGCTTCCACCAGTTGACTAAGACATTCTCTTGCAAAAGTAATAAGAAAACCAGACAAAGCACACAGGGTATGGTGTCTTTCTGAAGGGAGGCAGCCCCCTCTGGGCAATGGCACATGTAAACCAAAGCTCTCAGCACAGGCTCTGGGTCAGGAGTTCTCATTTGTCCCGAAAACCATACCCTGTACCCTTCAACGACTTCAGAGCCGCAGTCGGCCAAATGCATCACTGATCAGAGTGCAGCATGCTTGGAGAGTGTTGAGTATTTGATGGAACACAATCATCTGACCAGAAACCCTTGTATGTGTTAGCAGCTGATATCAAAATGTGTAGCATCATTCACTGCAATACTTTACCCTACAGAGAAATATCTCATGATCCTGATATTTTATGAATCCAAGTTGGCCTTCTTCCAGCACACATGGAATCCAGGACTGGTCCTCCTTGGGACGAGAAAAGGGTACAAGCTGCCTCTCAGTGCCACCCCAGAGTGCTGAGGAACTGAGCTTGCTGGGACTCGCTGTGTAGAAATATACACAACACAGTCAGGTCTGGAGGTATGCGATGCCCTCTTAATGGCTTTTCCACAACTTACAGAGAACTCACAGGAAGGAAACAGACACCAGCCCAGCTTAAGACCCTGGCAGTGCCTGAATAAACACATCTGTCCAGGGGCTCACTGCAATACCTCTTATCTGGGTCTCACAGTAAATGGCGCCCAAATCAGGTTGCTTCTGTTTTTCAAGAAGAGCAGGTTCTCTGGGTGTGATTAATCAGGATAAGGTAAATATCCTTATGAAAATTCTGCTCTAGGGACAAAGTTTTATAGAGAGATCTCAATATACTAAAAAAAAAACAATTGAGGACTATGAGATGAAATGCTAATGTATCTTGGAAAAAAGGATATAGTCAGATAAAGGTATTCGATTAGAACTTTTGGTCAAGTATACTTTAAGGCCCGTAGGCACTTTTATTTTAAAAGGATGTTGTTACCACTTCTTCAGCAGAACAAGCCTAGGACTACTAAGCACTGTGTCCTGGTCCCCGGAAGAGGCGGGCGGTTACCCGATGGCCTGGCGCTCCAGCAGCCTCTGCACCGGAATGGTCAGCTTCCCCAGGAAGCGCTTGATGATGGGGCGGCTCTTGGCAAATTTGTCTTTAATTTCAATTTCCAAGACATCAGTCAGGAGTGCAAAAAAGGAGTATTTCTGAAAACAAAAACAGGTCACGTGCTGGCTCAGGAGAGAAAAACGAGTTTGACATTACATTGCTTGACAGTCTAGGAAATGATGTCTCTTGGGTCCCAGTGGCAGAGTGCACACTGTGGGAAATGTTGCCTGGTCACTCAGAGCCAGTAACATTCACAAGGGCCACAAAGCAACGGCTAAGAACCTGCAGGGCCAGAGCAGCCCCTTCGCTCAGCCACGAAGCCCTGCTGGGTCTAACGGGCCTGGCAGGCATTACCAAATGTCCAGTCATACCCAACACGGTGTCAGTACTCACATGCTAGCTGTGCCTTGCCTTTTGATATCTGATCTCTTGTTATAGGACGATTTGCCACTAACTAGCACATCTGCCTAATGACTACTTATATTCCTAATCTCAAGGGATTTTACAGTCACAAAACACTTAACGTATTCCTCTACTTAGGAAAGTAGGAACGTCTACTGCATATTGTAATTTCCCTGAAAAATATTAGAATAAAACAACGTTTACATAGAATCACTGCTTAAGTCTAAAAGACGTGAGATCATTTCTTCTGAGACAAAAAAGTAAAAGTATGAGTTTAAGACAGGCTTCGTTCTTTGCATTCTCTGCTCCAGAGAAAATGACCGGGTATCAACACAGAAAAAACAAACATAAAAGAAGCTGTATTTCTTTTATAGATATTTCGCATAACAGAAGCAAAACTTTTATATTTAGCGGGATATGATTTTAAAGATGAGGCTATGGAGAAGCACAGACAACAGACAGAGCCAGGCAGCTAACCTCAGTCAGTCATTGTGTCCGCAGAAGTCTCCCTGCTGCTGTGGTGACGGGAACCGTGCCGCTCGGCCGACCGACAGGTGCCACCAAGCTCTTTAGTCAGTCATTAAAGTCCCCCAGGGGTCAGACTGCCAAAAGGCTGCCTCTGAGTGGCCAGCCACACGGACACTGCCCGCTACAGTTGCTTAGACACGAAGCAGAGAGGCCATCATCACTGCACGTCCTCTGCCTCCCTGCAGCCTGCGCTAGGAACGCTACGTATGACACAGAAGTACCAAGTCAGCGCTGGTTTCCTTACTATCCTACTCATTATACACCTTCAAAGCTCTCTCAGAGGGGCTGAAGTGTGTTAGAGGAAGTGGTGCGCCTTCAGGGACTGTCTGTCACTAAGAGGTTATAAGCGGTTTTGAAAACCAGATGTAAGAACACCAGCAGCCTTCTTCCATTTGGACCATGGAGGACCTGAGTGGAGACTTCCAGTGCTAAGACGGATCAGCGAGCCACGCTTTTTCTTTGGATTGTTCTTACATCCCCAGACTGCTCTCTCCAGGTAGTCTACCACACGGACAGGGTGGGTCTTTGTCACTGAAGACTGGGTAACACCCAGAAGAAGCCATCTAAACGAGTTTGTCTGCGAGATGGGGGTGACAGGCAGCCTGTCTGCTAAACTGTGACTTCCTGCTGCTCTCTCCAGAGAGCCCCGTGCCTCACTTCACCAGGAAGTGAGTCACCGTTAGCACAACCTGCCGTCGCCCAATGGCAACTCCCCAATGGCTCCACGTGGAACATCTAGAAACCACTACAGGTCTGCCAAAGTCCGAAGTCCGCAGAGAGAGAAATTCCCTGAGTTCATGCTAGAATGAAATGTCAAAATTTAAGTCAACACAGTTCCATATTGCTGGATTTTCTTTTCCTCTCAGATTTGGTGATGGTTCTACACTTTTACTGACCATATGAAATTCAGATATTTCACATTTTTAAAGTTTTGATATTACGTTCATTGTGAATGTTTTGTACTCATTTTGATTTTTTTTAAAAAAAAATTTCTTTTGGGCTAGGGATTTAGCTCAGTGGTTCTGCCGCCTGCCTTGAAAGCACAAGGTCCTGTGTTCAATCCCTGGTACCAAAATAAATAAATAAAAACATTTCTTCTTTTTCTCTCTCTTTTTTTCTTTCTGTGACCACATCTTTGGTAGACCCTTACACTGTACTCACAGGTGAATGGCTCTCCTGTCACAGACCTGGCTGTGGCCAGCTTCTTCTTGTCACCCTCTCCTTACCCACACCCGTGAACAGCTCAGGGATGCAGGCTTCAGGGAAAAGGATAACTTGGAGGAGATCGCGTCGAGGGAAGATGCCAAGCCTCTTACCTCTCGGTGCCAGATGGGGTTTGTGGTATTGCTGATGATCGTTGACCTTCTCTCCTGCCCGTGGTGGGCGCAGGTGGGGAAACTGCTCTTCTTCCCCGGCTGGATGGACATCTTAAGGTAAGGGTCAGGATTGAAGAACATTCCTTTCTTTAGCCCAACTGCCCTAAGATCTTTAAGGAAAGAGAGAAGGAGGGAGGGACGAAGGAGAAAGAACGGAGGGAGGGAGGGAGAGACGGGAAGGAGGAAAGACACATATGCAACTATTAGAACGAGCAGCGCAAAGACAATTTGTTCTTCAATCATCGCACAGGGTACTGAACAAACTGTTCTGCAAGATAGCAGCAAACTATTCACACCACGACTGCTTAGATGGGGGGACCAGTGGCTGTGGAAGCTACCCCAGCAGGGTTTCGCAACAAGCTGCACACAGGAAGCCATGGCTTCCCTGCACATCCCCCGCCGCTCGGTGGGCCTTTCCTGGGCGTCTTTCGAGGAGGACACGGTCGGCGGCGGTCCATCCTCACCCTCTTTCTCATACTGCAAGGCAGTTTGGCAACAATGTTTCGTGAATGCCTTGAAAGAAATCCTTAGCAAGCGCTTTCCTCAGAAACACGCCCTTTCGTGAACTAAAACAAGTCTTGTTCATATACATACAAATGAGTCCGAAATAAGGTTAACTGGATTGAAACTTCCGAGCACACATTCAATTGCGCCACATTTAAATGCCAAATATATTCCAGATGTGTAAGGAATATTGAGCAGAAAAGGTAGCCCCAAAATGTTCCCAAAATGTGCATCCTACATGTTAACTTTCAATAAGTCTGCAGTCCCCTTTCCATAGCCTATGCAGGTACTTAAATATCTGATGGCTATCCTATCGCTCACCTTAGATTCACAAATAGTTGTTCCACATTACATGGAGCCTTACCTGGAGTCCATCTAGTGAGGAGACTGATTTTTAAAAAACTAATCTAGCTAAAAGATACGAAAGTGTCAGGGACTGAGCTGATTCTGTTGGGTCCCCAAAGCCTTTCTGAGACTGTCAGCCTGGTCCAGGAGCGGAATCATCTTGAGAACATGGGGCAGAAGAGGCTGGGTAATCTCATGCGGTTAGGGTCTGTGTAGGGGGCTCTGTGGTTCAGAGAGGAATTCTGCACAAGGAAGCCCCTGGATTGCCCAGGTCAGTGTGGGCATAGACCCTGTGTCTGACCGGAAGCTACAGGTGCTCACCAGGGTCACCCCACACAAGCCAGTCTCCACACAGAAGGTCTCTTTTAGAAGGACAGAACTGGCCTACAGTTCCCCACAGAAACCTTATTCTCGAGAGAGGGCTGCCTGGAGGACAATCACCAGTGGCCCACAAGAACTTGCGGCCTAGACAGGACTGTCCAGTGACACCGGGAGACAGAGGTGGCAATTTCACAAGTCAGCGAATGCTGAAATACTCAACCAAGAAAACCTGATGCCCACAACACGGCATGAAACATAGTAAGATCTTTGGTTTGGAAGTTACCCAGAGGAGGGAAAGACAAGTAGGAAATAGACAGGCATTCATAAAAACTGCTGAAATCTCATTTTCCTCACAACCCCATTCCTAGCACTTCAGAAATGAGAGCCCTCACTAAACACAGAGCTTGCATCTTACTGTCAAGGTACTAATGTCATGTTTTCCCTTGGGTTTACTTAGCATAAAGTAGCTCTGAGAGGAAAATATAATTTATACATTTGTTTTCTTGCCTTTCTTGAGTATGCTTACTCTAGACTCAAGGAGAAAACAGTATTTTTTTAGATATTAAATCTACTTCCAATTAGGGCTCTCCTGGCAGTTTGGGGCAAACAGAATGGGCAGATATAGCTGCTACAAAGTCTGCCAGAGCTGAGTCATTCAGAAAAAGCGCTGCCTTGAACAAAAAGCCTTTCATGTTGGCAGATTCATCTTTAGATGTTAGATAACCCCGACGTGAAACCCTTTCACAATGAGATAGACACTTGATTCATTAATACAATGAACTACCGATTATTTTTAATCTGATGATTCAGTGCCTTTTATCCATTTCATTTCTACTCCTGCTTCTGTCTTTTCTGTGTATTACTGCACACAAATATCCACCCCATGGACTAGGCCTCAGAAGGACTCAACAATCATAACAGTATAAAATGTTAAATATCCTGGTGCAGCCTTATTTGGAGGAGGTTTACGGTATTAATCAAAACAATTTTTTTTATTTTAGCTGTGGAGGTCAATGATTTGTGTCCTTACCTGCCCACAGACAATCAAGGGTAGAGCATTTGGAGGAAAACATTGCAAAGTGCCTCAGTGCTCTCAGATAAATACTATCATCCACTGTCGATAGGCTGCAGTCGGATTAGTATTTTAGAAAGAGCATTACAGAACTGCTTTCATCTCCCATGTTTGTAACCATTTCTGCATATCTGTACGAGTCTGACTACGTGGTAGGGAATAAAATAGATTTTAGGTAGCAGCCTTCCAGTGACTAGAAGTGGAATGTAAGGAGAAGTGTTTGAAGAAGCATTCGGTTGTACTCCCAATTTATTTCCTGCTTTTAGGAAAATGCCTCGGGCTCTTACCTTCCAGGTGGCCATTCCCCCATGAGATACTAACATCCCCTCTGAAGGCAAAATCACTGTGTCTGTGTCATGGTTAGTGTAATGCAGGTCGATGAAAATATAAGGCCATAACTCTGAACTAAGAAATCCATGGACTATATGAAAATATTACATTATACCCTATATGTAAGTTTGACTTGTTGTTTAAAAAAGAAACACATGATACGGTCAGACTCAAACTTCCTGAGCACCTGGAGGTGGCTTCCTGTTCCCTGCTCTGGCCAAGGATTTCAGTACGTTCAGCCCTAAGGACTACATGGGTCTAAAGCCACCAAAATGTCTTCGGGAAGCACAGGGAAGGGGCAGGGGTAACAGGCAGTGGTACTTTTAAATGCTCTTTGAAAAAGTCTGGATTAGTTTAAAACCCTAAGGGTTCCAAGCAAGACACCGTTACTGGAAAAATCTGAACCCTAAGCCCTTGGTTCACACCTCCGGCATGTACGGCGGAGCCACAACCAAAGAGGCGTTTGAGTGAGCACACTCCTCCCCAGAGGGAGGAGGGCCAGGCAAGACGGACACAGGCCCCGGAAAGGCCAAGGGCCAGTGGTGTGGACACTGGTCACCTGTGAGCAAGTGTCTGCTCTCAAGACCTCACTTCTCAGAATCTCCACGTCCACTCACAACATTGTGTTTGCAGTCAAGAAAAGTGACTCTGATTTCAATTTCAGAACCGCTGCATCTGCAGAAACATGAAAACAAACATCTTCCAGTGACAGGCATCTGTCAGACTCACTCTGTAACACAGCTGTGTCTCAACACTGCCGTACAGACACCAATTCCCTGAGTGTGTTCTTAACTTTTTGACAGACTGTTTGTTTCTTTAAAACTGTAGTTTTCAATTTTTTTCAGTGGCCTGTGTATTGAAGTACACTGAACCTTCTGTACGCTGAAACCAGGACACACATGAATACACATACACATTTTTATGTAAAAGTTTTGTTAGCATGCACTGAGGGTGTATGGAGAAAAATTCCTTTCGGTGGTGAAATCTGGTATTCAATTTTGTAATAAAAAATTGTTAGCTTCAAGTCTTACCCAACTCAACCAGAAATGTATTGCTTTACCTGGCTGATAAACACACATGCAGAAAATAACAAAGAAACTGTCTGAGCCACTTTCTGATTTTCAGGTGCATGTCCCCACAAGAAAACAGAAGTGTACTTTGACTTTTTCCTCCTAGTCTTCAAATTTTTCCTCCCTCTAGCTGAAGAAAGCATAAGTTATTTGAAATAATCAAACTCCTTGTTGAAATCAGCACATGCTACATGACAGCTTTAGTAATTACACAGTTATATGGTCTTCTATCACCAGAAATCTTGGTAGAAATAATGTCTAGATTTATATTAATAATCTATTTTTTTCACCATAAGAGATACACTTGAATTTCCAGGAGTATGACTGAAAACCCCAAAAGAAACTATTCATATATTCTAGGAAAGTGTGTAGGAAGGAGTGACTATCAGACCAGTGGTGGCGAACCTACGGCACGCGTGCCACTGCAGGCTGTTTGTATCACTGGAAGCTCTAAAAGGTTCGCCATCCCTGGGCTATCCCCACCTTTGACATCACACCGCTTTTGACATTCTCAAGTTGGATGTTAATGCAAAGGTATTCTTACCTGACAGCGTGAAGCTGACCAGCTTCCGGGAATGCAGGTTTCCTGACACGCCACCCTCCATGCCTTCTGCCCCCATCTGAAGAGGAAAGACACAGACCTGACGTTTGCAGTGGGTATTATACCACCTGATCTTCCAGGGAACCACATGTTCACAAATGCAGCAATGTTTTCATCAAAATGCATCGAGCATATGGCTTTAAATTTCTAAATCTTGGAACTGAACGCAAATGTGCATTCTCAAAGGCAAGAGTGGGATCATGCTTAAATTTTATCTTACCCAAAATTTAAAAATAATCAGCTTTGAAATCCCTTGGGAGTATCAACCAGGCTATTATATATGTACTTTTCCCTTAATAAGAACATAATTGATATGTAAGAAATACACTGATATGATTAGTGCCATTTTAAGCATTCACTTCAATTAAAAAGCAAACATCATATCCCTTCAGATTAGGAAAACCTAGAATAAATGGTAGATTGATACCAGAGACATCCATAGGTATAGCAAACTCCCGAGTTCCACGTGGGTGTCCTACCTGCCTTCTAGAATTCCACTGAGCTGTAGGCACACAGAACACACTAGAATAATGGGCAATAATAGGGATTCGCAGTGCTATTGTACTGATAACTTCTTCCTAAAAGCTTCTGAGTAAATTATATCTCACACAAAAACAGTAATTTATAAACTGCACAGCAAATTTAGACCTTCTTCTCAATGTGCATACTACTAGTGCAAAATTTATGGCACACTAGGAAAAACGACCTCCAGGAACCTCTGTAAAAGAAGGCTATCATATTGAAAAAGACAAAACAGAAGGCAGGATATATCCTGAACAGTTGGAAAACAGAAAGCACACTTTAATTCTGAAGTTCAGATTAAACCCTCTGCAAACATTCTTTTCTTGACCAAATTCTTAGCCAAGTATCTCTGAGCCTTCTGCTCAGCGGGGACCGAACTTGGGCTCCCCCTCCACCTCTGCAAGGTTGAGCTTGAGCAGACCTGGAGAGAATGCCCACCCTCAAGAAGCGGACACTCTGCTAGCAGGCCTACTCCTCTGCCGCTGCCCCCAGGTGGGGTCCGATGGCTCTGAACCCCTGCAGCAAGCATTCACTCGGGCCATTCTGGCAAAAATCACTGGCCCTCTGCCCTCTTGGTAGCTTTCCAGTCCGGACCCCATCTCCCATCTTCTACACCCAGGCACAGGCAGACCCTCGGGATCAGGGCCTCACCTCGAATGGAAGGCGCGGCCTGGGAAGAGGGCCACACCAAGCACTCAGCACTGGGCCTTCCCTGGACACTCAAGCTATGTGAGTTACTCAAGACTGCAAAGATTCATGGCCTGTCTTCATCTAAAACCCATCTAAAATAGCGTAAGGAATTGCGAAGAACAAAAGAAAATGTCCCAGTTCTTACTTTTAAAATGCAACGCATTGCCAATGTGAAACAATTCTTGAAGAAGTCACATAAAAGCAGTGTCCTGCGCAACCTGTCTGCCAAAATGTTCATCTCAAATAATACTCAAAGAATCCTATTGTTTATTTGAAAAAAGGCAAGAAAGAGCATGCACTGCCACGCAATACAGGGACAGTAGTGGTAATTAACATACCTGCACTCCGTGTGCAGGGAGGGGTTTTCAAATGAACGCGCCCCAAGGTTTCTCACTGATAAACTGCCTTTGCTAAGCTTAAAATAAATAGATAAATGAATAAGTAAGGGAACACGCCCCATCCACTCCTTCCAGGAAACCCACAGGCAGTGCTATCAACCAAGCACAAACAGTGACTGCAATCTGCCCATGGCCCAAGGACTTCCTGTTCAAGGGAATCACCATCTGCGCTGATGAATGACAGTGACGTCAAAGCACAAAGGACAGAGAAGACACAATTACTCTTTAGCCCTGATTGCTGAGGCTATGTGAGAAGGGGAGTATGTGACCCGCACAGCAGCTCGTTTCCTTCCTTATGGAGTTTCTCGGCTGCTTCCTCCTAGTGTATTTCTGGTGTCTGGTCATGGTCTGATCAGAGCGAGCTTGGTGCTATTCGGGCATGGATAACGAACAGCATGTCCTGTGCTGAGGGACTGTCCTGCTGCTGTACAAGCACAGGTTTCCAAGTGGGAGCCCCCTTCCATTCTGGATACAGACCCGAGTGCCCCAAGCTTGGTCAGAAACCTACTGACCACCCATCCATTAGTCTGCCTTTGAACCACAAAATTCTTTTGATTGCCAGTGCTGGATCTGTGAAGCTGGTAAAGTGCCGCAAAAATCTGTCCAAAGCAAATGAATTGTTTGTAAAGTATGTCCAGGCTTTAGCAGAGCGATCTCCATACAAAATCCAGGGGGTGAAATCAATGCTCAGTGGGCTCTGAGCCCCTCGCTGCCCTCACTGATATGCAAATATCAAAACTGCTCAAGTCTAAAAAGTTCCGAATCCAGAAAATGCTAATCAGCATGAGTTACTGTCTAATTTCACACACTGTGACGCTTCACTGGTTTTATTACAAACAGCTTCACTCTTCCAGTCATGCAACCTTTTCTTTTTAGAACATTAAATGGAGCAAACTCATTCGAGTGCTTATTTTGTGAAATGGCAGATTTTATAGTCAACAACTGTCATTCTCCCTGAGACCATCAAAGTCTTACACAGCGCTGCATGCTATGCTCTTGCATCATGTACCCGGCTGACTACAACTGGGACTCAAATATAACTTTCCTTCCATTATCGACAGGCTGCTCCTTCTTCAGGGACATCTTCAGAACAAATCCTACTGTCGTGTGCATCGCAGTGCTGATACTCTCCCCGGCAGGACTGTCTCACAAAGAAATACAATAATGTGCTGATGTCGCTCTTCCTGACCAGACCAAGGAGAGCCAGCTCCAATGAACATCTGCTTGAATAAATGACTGTGAGGGAAAGAAGGCTTGATTCTGAGGCACAGACACGCTCAAGAAATCAACTTGGCCTCTTGCCTATTTCCAAGAGTGTGACCATCTCTAAGAGTGAATACACACATACACTCCCACACACACGTTTCTAAAGACTCTACATTATGAGAGTTAGCATTTTTTCTATACTTTCATGACCTCATTTTCTTACTGAATAATAAAAGAAGACAAAGATGTACATATCTTGGGCTCTGTGAATCTCCCCAAATCACCTGAATCCAGCCACCCATGAACACTGGAGCCCTACACTGTGGAAATGCTAGATTTGTAAGTTAGCTGATTGGGTGAAAAGAAATCACACAACTATGAAAAATAATCCTTGGGCAAGTCCTTGCTAGACATGGACGAGCTTCTTTTAAAACTTCCAGTCCTCTCTGGAATTTAATTAGATATATCACTTTGGTCAAGGGCCTGATGAAGAAGCTGGTTTCCCTAGAGTGACCGGGTTTCACCAAAAGTTCCATACGGTATCTTTGAGCCCAGACGCCAGCCCAGCATCAAGCAGGACTGAGCCCTAGGGCCCCAAGGACCCGGTGCGCTATTTATGGCTCAAATCTCATGCTCTCTTGGGCAAAGCTGTTTTGAGTTTTCTGGGAGACAGAATCACCCATGATTTCAATGGTTGCCTTTCTCTCCTACTCCTTGAATTCGTGTAAATTAAATTTACCTAAGACACAGCACCACTCTTTCCTATGTTTCCCATATGTTTCTGAGGACCTGGGTGACGGGTCTGTTCCTACAGCACTGTAGCACAGCCCTGAGCTGACCAGGCAGGGGTGCTCCTGCTGAGGGTTGTTTCCTGCTGACCCGTGTCACAGCCCCGGGCTGCCAGCGAGGTCGTTCTCCTTTCCCTAACACAGGGCCCACTCTGCCCTGCGGCTCCTCTTGTCTGTCCTCAGATCTCTGTCGGGGCTGCACAGGTGAAAACAGGACCCACAGGACCACACAGTCCCCGGGGAGGCACTCACCATCACAGCCGGGTTCTTCACCGTGATGCAGGGCGTGGTGGCCCGCAGGGCTCCGCTGATGCCGTGGTAGTATTTAAAGCAGATTTTTATCTCCGCTAAAAAAAAATGGGAGAAAACAATGAACACAAGGACGAGCCACATAGGAATCCGCTGCAGAAATCTCCAATCACAGGCAAGGAGTTATACCAATGCTCGATGGACTTTACATGCTTTTCAGAAATTTCCAAAGACCACGCCAGACATATCTGAAAAACAATGCACAGAAACAGTACCCTGACACACAGCGCAGGACAAGTGAGACTGGCGACATCTGTCAAAGCAGACAGTGCTGCCTCGCACACTTGTGTTGCCACTTAAGCCTCCCCCCTCAGCCTGAGGAGGCAGAAGTCCCAGTCTCCACATTACAGCCGAGGTGTGGGTCACCAGAGGTCCAACAAACAAGAAATGCAAGCTGGGACTCGAACCCACTCCACCCCATCCCAAGCCTTTGCTCTTGACATCCACAGCACAGACACATGGCGGCTGTCAATGAAACAGAAAAGGTAGTCTGACAAAGTGGGGGAGTGTGACACTACTCTCTCGGAACACTTCCATGTAGAAATACTGTGTTATTGTCATTTTCCATATGATTTCAATGTAGCCACTAGACGGGACCACCGACATATATGGATGTAACTCTCAGCACATGAAAATCCACACATTTTAGAAACTTGTTCTGTGCATTTGAGCTTGACAAGAAGAAATGTAAGTACCAATTACGGCTTTGGGAAAGTAGCTGCCAATAGAAAACAGTCACGAGCCCTTCCCTCCATGCCGAGGGCCCGAGTTGCCGGGCTCGGTCTTCCAGAGCAACCGTGCCAACCCAGCGGGAGCTTCCTGGGCTCAGCTGAGTCACGGGTCACGAAGTGGGGCGGTCCCCGGCATCCCCCAGAGCTCGACTGTCACTGCCTTTCCTGACTGCAGATGGCCTCTACTTGTTTTATTTCAAACCATCCTTCTCTAGGAATCTGTATCATCATACTCTTCTTATCACTAACCACACAGGAAACCTGAAGAACATATCCATCCTGGAGTAAAACCTGGAGTCCTTCTACAACCTGCACTGATCGCTGCAATAATTCACAGTCAGCTCAACCGCCAAGAGACGTATGCTGTGCGCCCAGCGCAGCGCCACGCAGGGCGAGCACCCAGGAAAGGCTAACCGGTGGCCCGGCCATGTTTCACAGCACAGCTGCTGAGGAACGACAAAGGACAGGCGATTCTGAAAAGGGACACTGGCAGGAGGGAGAGCACAGAGCCAGAGCCCAGGGGGAGAAGAGGGAGGGCACTTGGAGCCAGCGGAGCATCAGGGAGTGAAGGGTCTGACGACAGGGATGGGTGGGCAGCAGGAAGAGCAGTGACGCCACCATCACCACTGCCTGGCCTCCTGCGGACTCCTCCGCGTGGTTTTCCTGAACACCAGCACCGACTCTGGTCATTTATGACCGCAGTAGCGGTACGGATCCCAGCAAGCCTTGCACCCCAACCCACAGCGCAGATTCCACAGGAGGCAGACCTAAGTGCCCCTCAGCGGGCATGTGATGTGCACAGCAACTCCTGCGAGCTCAGCAGTGTCGCTGTCCACACCCCGGAGCCAGCAGTGTCTGTGCATCTGCCTGCGGCAGCCCCGCACAAGCCACATCCACGAGCCACATCCATGCTCAGGGCGTGAGCAGGGTGCTTTTCAATACAGACAAGTGCATTTTCTGCCATCCTCTCCTGACTCCCTCTCGGCCCAAGGAGGCCCTCTGCTAAGGTCCCAACCAACAGGGAGCCGAAGATGAGAATGAGAAACCCCAGTGTGACCCCTATGAAAGGACGCTGCTCACCCCACTCCACCCCGGGACAAACACGAATCCGCCGGACAGTGAGACAAACGTGCTTCGAATGTGCAAAAACAGAGACCATGTGGGCGTGATCGCCAACACCTGTGCTGCAGGAGGGCAAAGCCCAGGGATTTCAGTGACCTCCAGTGACAAAAGCCACACCCAGGCTGTCTGGTCACCAGAGAGGAGATGGAGGGCAGGAGGAGAGGACACTCGTGCCTGGGTGGAAGACTTCTGAAGGCACAGAGATGTTCCACGCCGAGAGGGACACTTCATCCTCACACAGTGGGGTTCAGGAAGTCACCGAGGGTGGTCCACACAGAGCTGCTAAACCAGCTTCCCTCTGAGGAGGGCACAGAGCTGAACATCCTGGCTGTGGGTCGAGGAACTCACAAGGGCTTGGAGGAAGTGCTGCTCTGCAGGAAACTGCGGGCTCCACTCACAAGCAGGACCACAGACGACGGCGGGTGGGGAGGGGAGTGATGCCCGCTGTGGCTGCCAGCTTCAAGGACACAGACAGACCCCACAGCTACAGACTCCAGAGAAGTTCCTGCAACAGCACTCACGCACAGCACGCTGCCTCCAACGGAGGTTGGCAGAGAGGGGAGGGGCTCCCAGTGGGCCCAGGAGGACCGGGCCAGCAGGGCCAGGGCCAGGGGACAGGAGGTGGCGGTGGCCCACGTGACACTGTCCCCTCTCGGCCCCCAATGAATGTGGAAATACATTCTGGCCCTGCAATAATCTTTCAGACATTTTGCTTACAAGGCTATTAAAATAAATACCCGCACCCTCTAGTTAAATGCTTACAAGACAGAGAAGCCTCTTTGTATTCCAATTTTGCCCTTATTTATACTTTGGGTTTCTCATATAAGCGAACCTAGTGATATTTATGCTTGTGTGACTGATTTATTTCATTTAACGTTATGGTCTCAACATGCAGCCTATGGATAACTCCTTTGTCCTTTTTTATAGCAGAGTAGTACTCTATTGTGCAGAAAGAACACACTTGCTATATTCCTTCATCTCTTGATGAATACACAGGCTGCTTCCAGGATTTGGCTATTATGAATTATACTACTATAAACATGGGTGTGCATGGATCACCGCAGTGTGAACCCTTTAACTCTTTGGGAAAAGGATCTAGAAAGGGACTAGCTGGGTTGAACGGGCCTCTGAGGAATCTCCATAGCGATCCCCATACTGGTTGTATGGTACATTCCCACCAAGAACATATATGAGTTCTGTTCCCCCTGCGGCCTCACCAGCATCTGTTATGATTTGATTTCTTATCGCTTCTCAGCCTTTCGGCTAAGATCAAGTGATTTCTTTGATGATGGCCATTCTTTTTGGCTTGGAATGGAATCTCAATGTTGTTTTAATTTGTGTTTCTCAAATGGCCAGAGATGTTGAGCACTTTTCCCGGTATTATTGACCATGCGTACTTCTTCTTACAGTATCTATTCATTTCAGTTGCCTGTGCCTTTTACTGGGTCTTCTATTCTGGGAGGTCCAACTTTTATGACTTCTTTATATATTCCCGATATGAGTCCTTTGCCTGTGAACTTATTAATGTTCACAAACACAAATGAAGATGCCCTTGCCTGGGGCAACACGTGGCAGCGGCAGGTCCAACACACAGGGGCAGCTGGCTGCAGAGCTGGAAGGGGCCTTGGCCACAACTCTGCTACACTTAGAGTCATCGCCCTACTACCACCTTTTAAACCAAGAACGTATTACTTGGTTTATACATGGATAAATATTCCCCAAGAGATAATAAGAAACTGGTAGCTGGTGACACCAGAGAGGGAGACTAGTGAGTGGTCCCAAGTTGGGAAGACATTTCCTTTCACTTTTTCTGTCTTTCTGACATTATGTTCTTCACACAAATTACCTGTTCAAAAATGATTTTTTAAAAGCAATCTCAACTCTTCTACATTAACCATAGCATTTATATGCAATTATGTCTCAAGTCTTATCCGAAAAAGGTTCCATGGCTTCTTGGAGCAACACATGGCTCTGTCCAAAGACCGGGACCTTGTCCACCCCAGAACAGCAGCAAGGCCACCGAGGCATCAGCTGTCGCCTATTCTTATTCAAGAAGTGTGGCTTTTCTCCAGCTTTCTAGAATCAGATATAAAGTCAGACCAGAGAGATGAGTCGAATAAACACCTTTCTTCAGTCAGCACTCCTACGTCGCTAAAATAGAATAATCTAAAAAAAGGAAGCTAACTGCCATTTATTCTAAGATGTGATTTTAATGGTTGCCTCGGGTTTATGGAACTTTTAAGATCATAGTTCCTATTTTTACTCCCTCCTTCTTCAGAGGTCACCGCTCGAGGAGTGAACACGTTTTAATCCTCACACTTTTAAGATATGCGGCATTCCTGGTGCAAGCCCCCGGTCATCAGAGCAAGCTGCCTTCTCTCTGATGAGGGCTGAAAGCCCGAAATGCCAGCCCTTCCTCAACTACAGTGTGGAGGGACAACGCTGCTGCTGCCAAGTCAGGACCGGAGACCCAAGGAACCCCGAGTAAAGTGGCAGGAGCACCGCCGTCCACCCAAAGGGCAGGGCAGCCCTCCAGTGTTGGGGAGGGACCTGAGAACAGCAGGCGTCTGAGAGCAGGGTGCAAGGCTGGGGCCACCTCCTCTCTCCCAGATGAGAGCCACCCTGCATCGCCCCACTCGGGGCTCCAACCTGAGCACCACAGCTAAGGATGCGACTCAAGCGTGCTGCTCTGTGGCTCCTCATCCTACCTGTGGCTCCCGGGGACACCAGACAACACCAGGAATTGCTACCAATGCCGATGACTTGCTATCGTGCGTAACAATCAGAAAGCGATCCAGTGCCCAGCGAGCGCACAGAAGGAAGCTTCCTTCCCTGGGACCCTCACTGGCCCGACATAGGGAGGGCCTGCAGCAACGCCCGCACGACGCTGGCCTCAGAAAACAGTTCTGATAGACGGGAGAAAGTGGGCAGAGGAGAGAGAAGGGAGGGAAGACAAAAAGCAGGTAAGAATAGGCGAGCCAGTGGCCACAGTTTATGAGAGACGGTGGAGAACAAGACAGGCACCTTGACATGCCAAATCCACTTGACTTCACGACTTTAGGATGTGCACACAGGGCAGTTTCTGCCAGTACAAGCTCAGCTCACTCTAGGGACAGCTAAGCCTTATGACAAGAAAGTGCAGGTGAAGCTGACGCCGGGAAGGTCACTGCTGCAAATCAGGCCTCTTTCCTTTGAACCCCGTCAGTGGGCCCTGAAGTGTGGACCTGGGGGTTCACCCACCTATCCGAAGCCACTGACACTCAGGGAGATGGGCGGGGGGAGTAGGCAAACCCATGCATGCCCGGGAACTGGGACAAACCAATTTCCAGAGAATTTTACTTTGTTTGGATTTCCAATGAGCTAAAGACATGCATCTTCTTTCCTTAAGAGGAAACCCCCAAATTTGAATACCACAGCATTCAAGGTCAGAGGCTGCCAGCACTTAGGACTTCAAAGCTGTGTAAGCCTCCCTGCTGTTTAGAAGTCCCCCGCTGACCCGAGAGAGCCCAGCGGCATGCACCAGGTTGAGATGTCCCCAAGACAGCTTCAGCCAGACATCTGCTCAAGCCCCGGTGTCCTAGCGCTGCTGGAAATATTCCCTTTATTTCTAACACTGCAGGCTAGAAACGTGCTGGGAGAAGCCTCATTCTGATGAAGTAAGCCAGGCATATTTGAAAGTGTGAACTTTCTGAATTTCCGGTTCACCGTCCTGTACATTTAACTTGGACTACTTTTGTCTGTCTTGAAGCAATACATTCCTAAATATCTCCATTTTTACAATCCTGCTATGCGATGCTCCCAATTTTATGTACCAAGAATTAAGGTACAAACATGCTCAATTAGAGGAGTAAAGAAAAAGAAAAAGCCCTGTTCTTTTGTTCATTCCCAATTGTCAAGCCCGTTTCTGTTACACCATGGACTGCGATGGAGAGAAAACATTTGCCAAGACAAGTATTTACTAGATAATAAATTCCTAGTTGCTGTATTTACTATTTAGTATGGCCCGATCACCAGGACATCACACATCTTTCACACTTCGGCAGGTGGGAGGAGAATCAATCACAAAAAAAGAGCGGCTGTGTCAATGGGTTCTTCCCCTCCCGAGATGCCCCGAATCCCAGCAGCATGTGCGTGAGGCAGCTCCTTCCAGGTGCCCTGGCCAACCCGGTCCCGCTGACGTCTCCAGCACTTCAGGACACAGGGAAGCTGGCGCTATTCCTCACCCAACACGCCCCTTGACCCCTGCGATTCTTTGAAGGAAAGAATCACAATAAAAGTAAAACCAGCATCTCCCATTCCATTTTCCCCATTCTCGCGTCGTTTAGTTTCCTCACTAGCAGGAGTACCAGCTAAGCCAGTGTTGGAAGTAGATATGGCAAGAAAAGAAACCGCCCACCATCTCACCTCCCAGCGATGTCCCCATACACCGGCAACTTTCTCCCGCATGCTATGCTAGCGGCTGTGACAATGACAAGTGTGTTTATATATTCTCCGTAGCCACCCACTCCCAAACACCATCGTTTGTTGAAGCATTTCTTCCCTTAAAACCACCTCCCACTTAAGGTTTATGGAGAGAGTCCAGCCAGGCCCTGGACCGTGAAAAGGAGGCAGAGGCAGGAGCACAGCAAGGCCCAGAATGCTGACCGCCCAAGAGGGAAGGGAAAGCAAATCTCAGATGACACTGATGGCAACGCAAGGGGACAGAGGTTCATCTTTTAAAGTAACTTTTACGGAAGCTGCAGATGACTCAATGCAGACACGCCAGCCGTAATTTCCACTTAACCAATCCATACGTTCTATTTAAGGTTTAATAAGTATTAACAATCATTGTTAGTATTCTTCCTGTCGTACACTAAACTTGCATCCAGACACTTTAATTCTTCCACAGGGCGCGACAAGGCAAAGGGCCGTCTTTTCCTATATTATGGAAAAATAAATTTTGTAAACTAACAAAGCATTTTTTATTCATCTTCTTCCTACTGCATAAAAATACAGAGAATATTTGTTTTTGGTACTGGGAACTGAAATCAGGACCTTGTGCTTGCCAGGCAGGCGCTGTGCCACTGAGCTACACCCCTCGCGATTTGATACATTCTCAATGGCAAATATAAAGGCTCCCCAACTTCTCCCGGAGTCAAAGGCATTTCTGCAGACTCTGCACTCTCCAAGTATCTATATTCCTGCTGCTGGTAGAAACAATCACGGAGCGTTGTGCAGGCAAACAGAACACGTGCACTGACCAAAATCCTGACTTGCTCTTTTTGCTTCCTAAAATTAATAGAATTAATACTAATTACAGATATCAACTATAAATTAATATAAATATTAATTACAAGTATGTCTATAATTTGTAAAGTATTTAAATAGCCATACACCACTTATATGCTATACACTCACAAGTGTATATAAAAATACATTAGTTTATGTATTTATGTACATATACCTTTATTGTACATACATGTACACACATTTTTCAAAACCTGTGAACATTCTGTAATGATCACTCTCTGAAACAATGCATTTTCTACTGTGGGGCTTCATGACATAAATATGTAAGTAAGAACAAAGGACTTTTTAAAGAACATTCAGAAAAGATTCCACTGACAGCCACACACACAACACTCGGTGCTAAACATGAGGCACACGCTCCGCGACTTACGTTCCATGAAGTAGGGTCCAGGCTCGATTCGCCACACAATCTGTCCTTTTTGTGTTCCCGTCACGCCCCTGTTTTTAGAATCCCAGAAGTTGGCTGGAGAATTCTCATCTGGAAAAACCAAGGAAAGCCTTTGAGCTTAATTAGAACCTGTCTTCTCCTACCTCAAAGACTTTCAACCTGTAACACAAATTTTTTAAATGGAGGGGAAAATATTAGCGAACATTATTCTTTTATTTTAAATTTTTAAAATTAATTTTATTGGTACATTTCAGGTATATAATGACATGCATCATTGGAGATCTGTACCTTCACATAATATATCTTGATTCTTATTTTTTCCCCACACTATTCTTAGTGACCCCTCCCAGCAGATTACTACCCTCGTGTCTGCATTTGCATTTATTTGGGTGGGGTCCAAGGCTGGAAAGAAGACAGCACCTTTGGGCTTGGCCAGGGTGGCCAACGTTGCCAAAGACAATCCTGCAAAGAGCAAGGGGAAGCCAGCTGAGCGCCAGAGCACTCTGGGAGGACCGATCCTTCCCCGCCATTTGCATTCAGCACACGTGAGTCACTCAGTCTTCACCAAAAGAGCCAGGAAACAGCTCTGTTCTTCTCAGGAAGGGAAGGCACAGCCCTCTTGAGACAGTGCTTATGCGGTGCAGGTGGGCAGCTCAGCCCATCGCAGAAGGGAAGCAGGACACTGCTGTGCGGAAGGCAGCCAGGCCATCGAGGAACACTGGGTCTGAGGACGTCCTGCGCTCCTGGGGCAGTCTGCGCGCTGCCTGGCCTCTGCACATCTTCCTCACCAAGAAAACCCCATTGCGTCTGGCAGCCTCCTCAGGCCTGAGCAACAGAGAGGCCACGAGACCCAGCTGTGGCCAGAGAGACGCAAGTGGAAGCCGGCCCGGGGCGGCCTTGAGGCAGGCCATTACCTTCCCTGTAGGAGGAGGGCAGGCTTAGCACCCTCTGCCCTTCCTCCTGCTCTCTTCTGGAGGAAAGCCACAGCCTCAAAGCCGTTCAATGACTTAGAGGCACCTGCCTGGGCTGACCCACAATCTTCACACATCTGCATCACAGCTCTGGGTTAGACCACAATCTAGCTGCTTCTCCTTTGGAAAGGAGCCTGCATGGGCAGCGCTGCTAGGATGAGCAGACAGATGCTCACGCTTGCACAAATTTATTTATTAGCTATTGGTGACCTCGCTTTGATTCACACATCAGGACAAGTAGATTAGGGAGCCATACACTTTCCTCTGAGGAGGTACTCCTTGCAATAATTCACTGTTCTTGACAAATACAAACCCTTCTGCCATTGAACAGCAGCCACTCTGATTGCAAATATAAAAGTCCCTACAAACCAACTAGCTGAGAAAGAGTTCAGAGCATTCTGAGTGAGCACCGCAGCTGCTCCAGGGTCATCGCCCCCTCTGTCACTGGCTCATAGAGCCCTGGCTCCCATGGGCACACAGCTAGGAGCCCTCTGTCCCTTGCTTGGTCCCAAGGGCCCTGGCATGAGCCGGTCCTTCAGATGAAATCTTCTCCTTTAGGGAGAGTGGATCAACTCCTTTGTGTAGACTGCAGTCGATTACGGTCAAGCTAGAGGCTCCTTTGACAGAAATGGCGTTTCTCTTCCCAGATCTTTTTTTCACGAATTTCTTTTTTTAGGACAAAACACCTTTTCCTAGATTTTAGGAATTATTCTTTTTACCTTCATTTAAACACCTATGTTGAATGGTTCAGCCCCAAGCGAACAATGAATATGAAATGTTACACCAAAGAATTCCAGTTCCTCTGCAAGTGTGACACAGAAATAATTATAAATCTGTTTCTTCTAATGAAATACTGGTCTTTGAAACCACCTAACACTGTCCGACTTACACACTGCCAGCTCTACTCCCCGCTTCTCTTAGCCACACTCACGATGCTGCCTAACCTTGCAACCTGTGGCACTCACATGGCGAGGACACGCCCGCTGTCCCCTGGCTTTTCAAGCTCCATCTTCCTGTGTCTGTCCCCACTGTGAGTCTTCCTCCCAGGGTTGAACCCGTCACTCCCATTAGTTGCCTCTCTCCTTAATCTCGACTATTTCCCTCCAGAGCAAGGGCGTCCAACCTGTGGCCCGCAGCCAGGGAAGCCCAGGGCATTTTGGGCCACGGGTCTGTGAGACCGTTCACATTCAACACTGTGACTGACGTGATTTCACAGTTTTCATGGCTCAATCCGGCAGTGTCCAGCAAGGGCTGCATAGGTGACAATGTGACCCCAGGTAGGGGAGGGACAGGGCAGCACTGACTCCAGGCTGTGCCTGCCACAGTCCAATCAAAGCCCACAGGTATCGGGTACTTGTGTGACTTGGTGAATAAAACACAGTATTTACCAATAATACTATGGCTGACCCCAAAATATGGTGTGCATTTAAAATGATAAGCTTTACTACAATAAAAGACACATGAACTGGGCGTGGTGGTGCACACCTGTAATCCCAGCACTTGGAAGGCTGAGGCAGGAGGATCACTGTGAGTTCGAAACCAGCCTGCACTACATAGTGAGTTCCAGGTCAGTCTCGACTACACAGTGGGACCCTGTCTCAAAAAACAACAACAGCAAACAAAACAAAGGCACATGAGTCCTTCTCAAAATATTCTCTTCCCTTCAAACACATTTATCTCATCATTCTTACCACTTCAAAAAAGTAATTTTCCCTTTTTTATTACTATACGTTCGTGATGTGTGATAAGTATTTTCACTTTGGAGAACTAATGCATGCAAATACTGCATCTTAACCACTTTTACCTCCTTTTCTCATTTCCGCAAAATCTGCCTCCCAGTTTATTACCTTTCATTTTATTCTTTACGTAAATGGCTCTGTGCCCCCACTTTTGGAAGCAGTTCCGGAAGCCCCTTTTTGTGAACATCTTTACAAGGTGCGATCAAAAAACACTGTGTGGCGAAAGCTGCTGCCGTGCGCCCTCCAGCAGAAAGGCGACAAAAGGCAGTGAAAACACAGTGCTGTCCTCATCCACCTTCGTCACCACACGTGGCGCTGTGCGACTTCCAGCTCACCCCTAAAGTGACCGTGAAAGGGAAAGGTTTTGAATGGATTCCGGACATCGAGGCAGCCAGGACAGGCAATGAAAGATGTCCATGAAGAGGGCTCCAGAGCTGCCTCAGAAAGCGCTAAGAATGACGGGATACTGTGTTTCCGGTTAAACTGCGCCGCCTCTCGGCCTACCTACACGTGTGCGCCAGTGAACACGCACGCTGACGGCCGTGAAGCACACATGTAAGTTTTCTTAGTCAGTTGCTAAACTCTGACTTGCTGTTATTACATAAAATTACTTAGTAAGTTGAAATGTTTTGAAAAGGAAGTTCCCTTACGTACAAACATGAACCGAATTACCTATTTTATCGCAGCCCAAGGCGATTCCTTGCTGTTCAGTGTGGCCCCAAGCGGGACACCCACGCAGGAGAGCAACCCTACCCTCGGCCTTCACACACCCGGCTTCTGGGACTTTGCTCTTTACCGTCCGTGCTCCCCTTCCCTTCCTACTGGGATTAAAGCGTCTGTTTCCAGTTAAAGTAGCATCTATAGTAGCAGTGGATTCTCTAAGTACTTGGGTAATTTCCCAGCTGGAATAAAGTGACCAAAAAAAGGGAAATGGTGAAGATGTTGCACACATAAATGCTTTCTGTAAATCCATCCTTTGGTAGGATTTTATAGAAAACTTAAAGTCCACTAACATCTCCTATGTCTTCTTCACAACTACACACCCATATCCGTTCAACCAACCGCAGACAGAATATACGTGGGGGAAAACTGCACCTGTTGTGAACTTGTACAGGCCTCTCCCCCGTCACTGCGCCTCGATGGATGTATTCTTCACACAGCGGTCATACCGTATTGGGTATTCTAAGTTATGAAGAGACGGTGTAAACATAAGGCTGTGTGTCCAAAGTAAGGCTGTGCGGCCGGGACACGCCAACGCTGTGCCATTTTGTATAAGGGACTTGAGCACCCACAGACAAAAGACTGTATTTGCTTACAGTATAATCGGCTGTGTTTTTTCTAAATGTGCACACCGAAGGCTCTCCGTGGCTTCTCATTTTTATGCATACCTATCTGTGAATATTGGGGAAGCGTAATAATTTAGAGAACGTTTGAAAATCTTTACACCTGCCGTATTTTAACAATCCATGATGCTTTTCCAAAGTGATTTTAATGATTTCTAGATTATCCTGTAGGGCTACTCCCGCTAATTCTGTTATGGTTCTGTTATAGCTACTTTTTCAAGAAAGCAACAGGAGTATCTGAGCCCAGGACATGAAGGAGTGAAACACAAGATGAGGTATGGTTTAGACAGGAAGTGTCCTCCACAGACGGGCTGGACCCTGGGTGCTATGTTCAGAGGCGCGGCTGGAGAGGTGACTGACAGCGGGAGCGGGGCCCTCCACGGGGTGTGCGCCGATGAGGCCACAGCTGAACGGGCTGACAGCAGGGGCCTCGTGGGGAGGCACCGCCCGCCGAGGGTGGCCTTGAAGGGCATCTCGTCCCCAGCCCACGCCTGTTTCCCCTGTTTGGCTCTTACAGGTGAGCAGCCTTCTCCACCACGTACCTCCACCACGACCAGCCCCGCATCACAGGCCCAAAAGCAGCCAGGCCAGGCACCATGACCAGAATCCTCTAAACCATGAGCCAAAACAACTTTGCCCCTTGTCAATTACCTTGGGTGTTTTGTCGCATCAAGACGAAGCTGCCTGACATGATTACCCTACACAGTTCTCTTCTACTAACTATTTAGAGGTGTACGGAACCCCTCAGAACATGATAATTAGGTGAAAAACAGTCTCCTTTTCCTTGATTATAGCACAATTCTTTAACACGTTCATTCCTATGCTGCTCTTCTAGAGGTTTTGATTCAGTAGGTTTGTGTCCAGGCCCAGGAATCTGAATTTCCCAAGAACTCCAACCAGGTGATTCTCCCCCAGGAACTACAAGGGCGACACATCACAGCAATGCTCACTGCTGTTCCGCGGGCCTGAACTGACTACCCATGAGGACCCCCGTGTCCTGACCTGAGGCGCTGAGAAGGTCAGGAGAAGGCTGGCACAGGAAGCTACACGAGGGAAACGGAGAGTGACAGGGACAGAGGAGGCGTGACCGCTGTTTCCTGAGTAACGGGCTCTGGATGTGCCAGGCCAGGAGCGCCTGGGAGAGCCAGCTGCCTGTGGAGACAGATGCTGGGACGTCCATGAGTCCAAGCATTCCTGAGTCCTCCCATCTACCTGCCCCGGTGATCCGTCTCTTAACACGGATTCGCGTTCTTGGTTCTGCGAGTGGACTCAGAGCAGCAAACAAGCAGCCATATTTAAAGCTAAAGTCAGTGACAGAAGTCACTGCCATGGCCTGGACCTTAGCACATTGACCATTTCTTCTGCGGAAAAGTTGGATTCATTATATTAACCTGCCTGCAGTGTGACTGCAAAGAGTGATTTAAAACAAACAAACAAACAAACAGATTTTTTAAATGCCATGAAAAGCTGAAATAATGCAAACTCAAAGAGTTTAACTTTTCAAAATCTTCCTTACCCAAAATATTTCAAACATGGAGAGTAGCACAAAATTATTTTTAAAAGATTATTTCTTGTACATAATTTTTATTTCCGGAAAGTATCTTCTGAGTCAGCTTTTGTGGTAGTAAGAGGATAAAGGAAACACAAACCGATGTTCAAAAAGTTTTTGGATTTTTAAACACCTCTATGCCTATATGAATATCTCCTAAAACCTCCTCCATACAATACTGGAGATAAAACTGAAGCAAACAACACAAAAAAACTTAGACTCCTACTGTCCGACCAGTCAGCCCAGGGAATCAAAAAACAGATGAGAAATTCTGTGAGAAAGACATGTGGGTGATTGTGCCAGACAGATTAAAAAAAAAAATTCTTATGAATTTTCTTTCGTTTCAGAATAATTTCATCTCCTCTGTACATTTTCCCCCAAAAAGGCACAAACATGGAAGGTGGTTTTCCATTGCCTTTCGAATACAAACTGGCAGCAACTCTCCCTTGGTACTGGGGCATAAAAGGGCCTGACTTGACCCGCGCCACACTGGGGAGCCAGGCACCCCATCCAGGATGTGAGCAGTGGAGGGTGACCCTGTGCTGCGACTTCCATCAAAAGGGCGACTCCAGACCGTGACAAAACACCCCTCGCGCCAGTGGGAAAGCGTGCAAACTCACCAGCACGCGGGAGGCCAAGCACAGAAACGCCCCCGTCAGGCAGAGAGGGACACTGCAGGGGAGGGGCCCTCCCTCTGCCCTGGGTCTACGGAGCGCGCTATGAATTCCTGGGCATGCAGGCTTGCACCCCGGCACCGCCTCTCTGGACGCCTAGGTCCTTCCTTGGGAGCCCACTCCGATGGAAGGAAGAGCGAGCACGTCGGGCATGCTCAGGGCTCTCCCTGGGGCCGGCCGGGCCGCCCACCGAGAGCGTGGCACGCCTATTTCCACATACACACCAGAGTGATTTGCTGAGAAAAAGGTACCAGAGATGCGAGGGAAGGACACCAGCACACGCCGAACGGAAGACAGCGGACGACCAGTCTTCAGACTCTGGCTACGGGACACGTGACACTGAAAGGGCTGTGGAATGCTGCCTGAGGGGGCCCGCATGCTACGAGCACGTCGCATGCTCAGGGCTCTCCCTGGGGCCGGCCGGGCCGCCCACCGAGAGCGTGGCACGCCTATTTCCACATACACACCAGAGTGATTTGCTGAGAAAAAGGTACCAGAGATGCGAGGGAAGGACACCAGCACACGCCGAACGGAAGACAGCGGACGACCAGTCTTCAGACTCTGGCTACGGGACACGTGACACTGAAAGGGCTGTGGAATGCTGCCTGAGGGGGCCCGCATGCTCCCTGCCCGGAAAGGGAGAACTCACAGGGTAGAGAGGAGCAGAACCCTTCTGCTCACCGACTTTGGAAGAGGTTTTTGGTTTTAAGTCCAGACGGTGGAGGAACAGCTGTCTTCTGGCTTCAAGTAGACAGCTCCCTTCTTCGTATGATCGATCTATCTATCTATCTCTACCTCTCCTGCAGGATTAAACTCTTCACTTAATCTTTCTCATCTCCTGAAAGTCTATTTCCAATACAGTCACGATGAGGCTGGCGGCTTTAACACAAGAGTTCTAGGAAGGCACTGTTCAGTCTATCGTACCATGCCTCACTTCTTATTCTAAAATATGATCAATCATATTTAACTGACCGAGCTCCACGGGTAAAGATCATGTGAGAAAACAATGCACGTCTAAGTTGGAAGAGTTGCTTTATTGCTAGTTTCTCTACAGAAGGCCAGCACAAGGACGGGAGCTCCTGCAGAAAAGGACAACTTTCACCAGATCCACACTGGTGACTGACAGCCAGGTCCTCACTGCACCCTGCAGATACGTTGGGCAGCAGTAGCAATTTCCGGTATAGAATACTTGATCCTAGACTCCCTACACTAAAGGACTTAGTAGAGTGAAATGCTAGACTACTGAATGGCACATAGGACTCTCTCAGGAGTGTTTAGTGTTACTGTTACTTACTGCACCACTACTATTAGAATTGTCATCTAATATTTCTATGCCTGTGTTACGGTATCTCTTAAAACCTCCACACATAGCTCAAGAGATAAAACACAAACAAACAAATGGAAAATGCTTTAGAGTCCTCTCTCTCTCCTACCAGTCAACCAGGAGAATTGAAAATAGATGAGAAATTTTGTGAGAAAGACGTCATGTGACAGATTGCGCCAAAGAGGTGAAAAGCAATTTCTAAGAAATATTCTTTTGCTTTAAAATAACTTCATCTCTTCTGTACATTTTCTAAAAAAAAAAAAAAAAAAAAAAAGATATACACATCTAAGGTGATTTTCAGTTAGCTTTGGAGTACAAATTGAAAATCCCTTGACAGTGGGTCTTTATTGACTGCTATTATTAGCAGCGGTAGGATGGCTGCCTCCTACAAGCTGGATTCCTCTCTCCCTGCTCTCTTCTCCCACCCTCTGCTTCCCGCAGGCTGCCTACTTGCTTCACTCTGATGTTGCTCCACAGACAGGCTGGTTTCAAGGTCTTTGCATTTGTTATAGTTTAGCTCTAAGGAGCCCCCCCAAAGCTCGTTTGTGCATCAGTGGACTCATCCTCTAAACAGCTGAGGGGCTGAGGGCGCTGGTGGGAGAGGGGCCTGTGTGGAGTGGGTCACCGAGGCATGACCTGGAAGGGATCCCGTCCCCAGCTCCTCCCTTCTCTCCTGCTTCCTGGCTGCCGTGAGGTGAGCAGCTGTCCTCCCCCAGGCCCTTCCGCCAGGCTCTCTGCCTTGGAGCTGGCTGACTTTGGACTGAACCCACGAGAAACCGTGAGCCCAATAAACTCCACATCCTCTAAGCGGCAGGTGGTGGGTGTACTGTCCTAGCAGTAGGAAAGCTGACTGAAACATTTTGCTTTTTGGGTTTCCCCCAAATTTCCCTAGGAGCACTCCCTCATTTCACTGGAAGTGTTCAGATGTTCCCCTGACCAAGCTGTGTAAAATGGCTCGCCCCCATCAACCTCCCCCTCGTCTCCTGGCCCTCCTGCATGAACCCACGCCTCGTATGAGACGTCTGTGGGTCGGCTATGGGCCATTTTCCCCATGGGAACAAAACCTGCACGAGGACAGTGAGTGTGACTCTGCTCGGGATCTCTGTTACTCAGAATGTTGCCTGGCAGACTGATGGTGATCAGTGAATACTTGTTGAATAATTTTAACACATGTAACTTTCTTTGTTCCTTATAAAATTGCTCTTTTCTTGTGTCTTTGGGACTTAAACTGTTTCTTCTCACTTTAGCCTATTATCACTTTGCTCCAAGTCATGGAAAAAGATCATCTGCTCCACTCTCCATCAGGGAAGATCTTCAGCAGCACGAAGTCTCGTTCACCCCGTTAGCCTCTGTACACAGACTAGGACTGAGGTGCCTTGCTGTTACTGTCGCAGAATATTCTGCAAGGGCCTCATACTGGATCCTGCGCTGTAGCTTTTCACCAAATCACTACCGCCATCCATGTCCATTTCAGATGAGTGTGACTTTTTGATTGCTGGAGGGAAATCACCATGCGCAGTGCAGTGGGGAAAATGATGTACCAACAGCAATGTGCTGCCTGAGAGCAAATGGGAAATTTAAGCCTCAAATTTTACAAAGAACATGTAGCTCCTCCTGCCATGTTTTGTCATGAAACTGGATACAGCCAACTGCAAACAACTTACTCTATTTTCACCATGAAATTAATTATAATTTTTTTACTATTGTAAAAAGTTTTTCGATTGACATGACATTATTCATTTTTCAGTTCAAAGTATTGTCCAAGGATTTGTGTTCTCAAAAAAAATTTTTTTGAGTTCTCATAAATCCTATACAGAAAAGTATTCAGTTGAAGAAAAAAAATTTTAAAAGAAGGGAAAAAGAGCGCTTCAATTAGAAACGATCTGAAAGTCTTTGTCAAGAAAGGACTTGGTCAAGATGTTTCAAAGACCTTGACTTGACCAGGTCGCATAACCCTAGGTCAGCCACTACACCTTTCTGTGGGTCGATGTGGTCAGTGGCAAGTGATGAACAAAACTGTCTGTCAGCTATGAAGTGTTCCTGGAGTAAGGGTGAATTTCAACTGGAAATTCTGGCTAAAAAGTCTGAGAGTTTAAACTGATCTTGTTGAATCATCTAATGAGGCTTACCATGGGATTTGTAACAGTGCCCTTGTTTTTCTCTACTCTGAACAAGATAAGAGATCTCTTTAAAAAGCCTGGAAGCATTCCTTGGTGAGAATGTTGTGTCGCTTTTGTATATTTTAACAATATAATACTAATATAAATCCACATCATAGAGTCAAGAGAATATACTAAAACATCTTTCATTCAACCAAATTTGAGAAGTACATGCCAGATACAATAGCAGGTATGTGAGACACATCGGTGAATGGGATCTATTAAAATCCTAATCCTCTTGGAGTTCACACCTGATAGAGAAGACAGACAATGTACCAGACATACAAGCAGATAAAATAGCATGTTAGGAAGTGACAGTTATGGAAAGAAGTTGAGCAGAGTAAGACAGTCCAGCAATGCTGAAGAGAGGGTTTTGGTTTTTACCACAGTGAGGCAGTGGGAGGAGGCCTCACTGAGAAAATGCTAGAGAAGCACAGCAACTGGAGAAAGGGACTGAGCCAAATCACATCTGGGGACATTTCTAGACAAATAGCACAGCCAGAGCTAAAGCCCAGAGGCAGAATTGTGACCACATCCTTGTGGGTATCAAGGAGCCAGAGAGGCTAGAATGGAGCGGTGGGGGGCAAGGATGAAGCAAAGGCGTGGGCTTCCTGCCCTAAAGGGCACGGAGAGCCCTCATCAAATAAAGGCTTTTTTCGGTACCAGCAATCAAACCCAGGACCTTGCACTTGCAAGGCAGGCAGCAGAACCACTGAGCTAAATCCCCAGCCCTAGCCCTCATTAAATAAAGACTTGGCCTCTCACTGTGAAAGATGCAGGGAGCCACTAACAGAGCAGCGATGTGATTCCACAGGACTTGTGTTTGCAATAGATTCTTTTATAAGCCATTTCTGGACTGTCTTTTGTCATCTCTATTCAACCAAAACTCCTGGGTAGCATTTGTGACACTGGGTCTAAGTGTTTCTTCTCTGTTCTTTCTGAGTCTCCTCCTTTGACAAGATGAGTTTAGGGTCAGGGATATAAACCAACGCTTCTGGAGGCAGGAACTGATATCTGGAGTTTAACAATGAGGAAGCTAACCCAAAGCAGTCGTGGGGTGAGTCTGTGCCAGTGAACCGGGGTCTTGCTCCAGAGAGCGCACCTCTCAGCGGCCACAGAGAGGAGCCGGGGCTCCACCCTGAGGAGGACGGACCTGTGCTGCAGCAAGTAAGGCAGGGAGGTGACCCATCCTGCACTGAACAAACACAAGGCCCTCCTGCCTGCTGTGTGCAGAGGGGCTGCAGGAAGCAGGAGCCGGGAGCGTCTCCTGCTCAGGGCGCACCAAGCACCGCAACCATGGTGCAGCACGGCCTCCCCGGCACCATGCTTCCTGTGCAGACGGAGCCTCAGATTAAACACCCCTCCATGCAGAGGCGGTGCGATTCCCGGCTTCATTCAGTGGCCTCAATCAGTCAGAATACAAAGCCGTGATTCTGCACCATTAGTGACTCAGTAAAACCCTAACACTACGTACCCCCCGCGTCACTGCACTGCGTCCCCGTGGACTTCCCATTTGCCGAGAGAAGTGTATCTTGTGTTTCACACTGCTTGGTTCTGACACTGCCAGGCAGTCCTGCTGGGTGACAGCAGATGGGAAACTCCATTCCCCCAATTTGCTGGATTCATGGGATTCATATTCTGGGGCAAAGCTTAAAATGCATAGATTCCGTATCCTTGACCTAGAAAATGGTCACAGCAGAGCCTGACTTGGAATGCGAAGAGGAGCCCTTGAGCCCAGCCTGCGCGGAGTAAATGGTGAGTTTTTATATTTCCATCTGTCTTTCTTCTTTGGAAGGAAGCTGTTTTTACGCTAATACTTAAAAGCACAAGTCTTCAACCTCATTCTCTTAGTTTAAAAATTTATTGTATTCTAATATCTCATACATATGCATAAGTTAAAACAGAAGTGCATTTTTTTTTCCTAATTAACAGCTGCCAAAAGCCCAGGCAGCCAAGGGGAAGTCACTGCTGCACAGCGACTGCACAGCGTGGAAAAAACCTGGCCACACAGCAGCCCAGTGTGTTCAAGGGTCTCCACACCACCAGGTCACCAAAAGTTCACTGTTTGCCAGTAAGCGTCAAGCCCAGCTCCAGGACGAATCAGGTGGACATGCCATCCTCTCCCTACACAAACTAATCCAGGTTTTAACCTCAGGTGTTCACCATGAGGATCTGTCTCAGCACAATGTGCAAAATTCGCCAGGAATGATAACTCGGGTTTGGTACATAGCCTCCTTTCTCTGCTCTAATCCTCTAAAAAGTACCATGCATACACTAAACTGTCACTCCGAGATAATCCTTTTTAACACTAAGTGAGGTTTACAGGCAATCTGTCCTGCTAAAGCCGAGAACTGGACAAATTATTACAAAATACAGCATTCGTGAAAACATACATTGGTTAGCAGTAAATAATCCCTTTGATCTTAGGCAGCTCAGGTGATTGGGAACTACAAGGCTAACTTTGTTTAAAGAAAGGGGTTACTCTTACTGAACTCAATCAAACATCTGATGGAGCAAATCGAAATTCTGCCTGAAAATGTTAGAAGTGTATGGGAGCAATCCCCCCGCAGCATTCATCGCTAACTGACCCTAAAGAGCAATTCTGCAGAGATGAATGACCTTTCCAGAAATTAGACTGCACTCCTGAACCTTTGCTAAAGCATCAGCTCTTCCTACACAGTACACAGAGCTCAGGGAGGGTGCCCGGCAATCTAGTGCAGGAGTAGGGGGCTCAGTGTTCCCCATCCAGGGCTCCAAATATCACCTGCCTCCCCAGTGGCAATGAAAGAAACACCCCTGCTCCCGGGAGCACAGCTTACTGGCCCTTTATAGCCAAAAGACAAATCTCCATTGGACAAAACTAATTTCTAAGAGATTAGGATATAACTGAAGATCTACCCAGGATTCGTTCCAGGTTTCAAACAACTAAAGCAGATGCTGTATATCAACTTTGAAGGCCTATAGAAAATATGTTCAGGTTGCTGCTGTTGCCACAAGGATATATCTAAAAACCACTGTTTCATTCCCAAAGTTTTGCTGCAAGACAGTCAGTACACCGAACCCGAACATCCCTAGAATGGGGCTGTGATTACGTTCCCATAGACACTTTAAAAGTAAATATTTTAACACCTTCTCAGAAAGAGGAGCTCTAAATTTCATCCAAAAACCTTGAGTTTTCCAGAGGGCAGATAGCCTGTCATGCAAGCGGTTTAGGCTCAATCTAACGCCATTTTCAAAAGCATTCTTGCAGGCAAAATCTGCACTCAACATCACAGTGAAGGGGCACCGAGACATTCAGAGCAGGGCATGCGTGGCTACCACGAGGGTTCCACGTGCTGCCACCCAGGTTCGCTCTCCGGTATCAGCTGCCAAGTGACACCACCAACTTTGTCAGTCACTGTTTCTGCCCAAGCTGGGAGAGGACCCATTTAGAGAGAGGCAGAAAGGGCTGTAAACCCAGTCGGATCCAGTCAGAAGAAAGGGCAGTGGAACGGATGCGGGAGCCAGATAAGAATGCAGCTTGAGGAGTATTCCTGCGCCTTACCTCCTCCAGCCTCTCGGAGCTCCCGCATGCCCAGGCCAGGGTGGACGCCTCATCTCGCTCGGCTTAGGTCTGGGAAGCAGCACGGGGACAACTGTCACATTCTGCTCATTGGCAGTTTCATTCATAGCCAAGGCCCGCGCTGAGGTCCTGGGACTCCCGGCGTCCTGAGGCAGCTTGGAGCCTCGTCTTCCCCAAACCTTCTAGAAATACATTCCAGGCGGGGTGCGAGCGGGTGGCTCCCTGGAGGCTGCTGTCCCAGTAGGAGCGACCCTGCGGGTCCCCTGCTCCTCACCAGGGCTCGTCTCTGCTCAGAATCCTAAGTGAAGAAAGACCTGGACTGTGTCCCTCCGGTCGCCGGGGCGTGGCCACACCCCCAAGGGTACAGGATGCCACAGCCCCGTCCTCCCCTCACTTCCTTCCTGTGCTTTTCCATGGGAGGATTCCAGGGAATGAGTTATGCGCACACGTGCGCGCGCACACACACACGCACACACGGACACCGCAGGCTGATGTCAGGCTGCCTGCCCTCACCGGGGGAGCCTGCTGTTAGTGTTACTCAGAGTGGAGCAGCCCTGATCCAGGGCACCAAGGTGCAGGCTCCGGGAGCAGGGTGAAGCCTAGCTGAGCCAGCACAGGTCTGTGCACTTGCGAGCTGTGAGGAAGGACGGGACTCTAAACATTGTCAGTGGAAATCCCCAAGTGTAGTTATCGACCCAGAAGTTGTCTCCATGCAGAAACAGAGGCGGCTATCAGTCTGGCTGGGCCCGGGTCTCTGCTGGAAAGAGCTGAAGGGGGAGCCCAGAGTTTTTCAAGGGAGAGAGGAGCCGCCGGTGCCAGCCCTGTGATCATTAAGTGCGGGCTGGACACAGTGCTTGCTAACAAAGCTCCAGGAAGTGAAGAGGCCAGCGCACGGGCTGTGAGGGGAACCAGGCGGCCGAAGCTCCGCCA